GCAAAATTACCATTTTTGGCAGCCATTTCAAAAATTACCAAAAATTATATTTAATTTTGAGCAATGTCAATAATGGTGTCACATAGTTTTCAATTTTATTATTTATCAGAATACGAAAGAAATGGAAGATGAACAATAATTGGAAAAAAATGATACAACGTAAATCAAGAAAAAGTCTTTTAGACAGACATGTGAACTTATTATTTTTAATCATAATTGAACTATAAAGGACAATTATGACATGTATGGTATTCAATTATTGACAATTTGACACTATAAAAAGATTACATCACAAATAGAACATTTGCCCTTTTCTCAGTCTCATTCACTCATTTAATGAGCACTGCATATACATAACACAGTCTCTCATAGACTTTGACATAATGCAATATAAAACAGATACATAAAAGAGAGGTGAGTAAGTTAAGGTATTGATAACACTATACAAACAATTCACTCCCCTTTACTGGGAACTGTGTATGTAAGTATACTATTTCCTCCTCTTCTCTCTCCTATTCCCTCCCTCCATATCAAATGTATATGATTATACAAAATATTAACATAATAGGGGTTGATAATAAAGAGAGGACAGAAAAATAAGAGGTACATGCAGGATACATGTCATTCAATAGTAAAATTTAAAATGAGCAGTTTGTGCAAGATAATACAGACAACACTGAATAAAGATAAAAAAGATACACATTATATTTTTGACAGCAATGTATGAAAATCTTTAAATTGCTATAATATACACTTGTCAAAGTATTATTATTTGTTTTTGGATGAAAATACTGATGTGAACACTTAGCGGGAATGTGTGACATATTTAAAATGATCAAGGATTCATATTAGATGAGATAGAATTAATTGCAAGGTTAATGTCTTGGCAGGAGATGACGTATTAGTTACCGAGTCATCACAAAGATGATACATACATGGACAATGTCAGGTTCCACAGCAATTGGAAAGCCATATGATTGACATAATACCATTTTTATAATAGTAAGTATTAACATTAAAAGTCCTTACACTTCCTGTAATTGTACACATGTGTGATGTTCACATACACTTGATATGGTAATGGATTCTATAGCTACTTTCACAAGGTGTTATTACCTCAAACAACACCCATGGTAGTCTGGACATGTAAAATCTAGATTATCTAGTTGACTTGAAGTTGACCTGGTTGACTATACACATGCTTGTGCTGGTTGTTCAATAATGTGCAGTTATTACCAATAACAGTGATAGCATGCATCCACTTTTACTGTACTGGGTAATGTGATTATCACATGTTATAGAATATATTATAAAGATAATTAGAGTACCTCAAGTTTAAAGAAATAGAATTAAATAGTGAAAAGAATCAATGATATGGAGAGTAAAACTGATCTATTACTGTATAGGGGGTATATTTCCTAGGGAAAAAATTTCACAAAAATCACCTTTCACTTATATTCACAAGAAAAATTTGTGTTTTTCTTCTACCAAGCATTATTAGTATGATAAAAAATAATTTTTGTAGATGAGATTTTCACAAATTTA